AGAATTCATCTTCACTAAAAGGAAACAAAATATGGTATTACATTGCCATAAACAAATGATATAACCCACTAATCCATTTCAAATCATCACTGGTATGCTCAACAACAATATCACACTCATTAATAATAAATTCTTCATCACCAACCAACAATCCAGTAATCTTTGCATTTAAAGGATTATCAAATCGTCTATCCTCTTCAATCTAACTGGTAGTAAATTTGTTTCAACAATAGATCTTTTGCCATTCTAAAAGCTTTAACAATATGATTGGTTTCATTCAACATATTCATAAAACCATTAACAATGAGATAGAAATAGAATAAAAAAAAACCATCATGTTACCAATTTCATTGGCTATGTCATAAATGTATAACTATTTAAATTCTAGAGGCTGACCTTGTCAAGATAATAAAGAACCCATTCATTGATACATCTGACCATCAATTTTGAAAACATATTGGCTAGGCTTTTTATTGATAGTTGCATCAATCTTACCACTAACTCATGTAAACTAAAACATCAAGTTATATATCATAATGTTATTCCTGAATTTAGCAGCTTTCCCACTTTTCCTTTCCTATAATCTAACAAAGAATCAAGAAATGAAGGTATGCAAGTAGCAGGTGATAGTTAGATAGTTCTTTTTTTGCAACAAAGACTGAAAAAAAGATTGTTAATTTGGCTGAGTTTTGAAACCTTTTCATCAAACCACATTTGTGCACCACAATGAGGACAAATGTGATTTAACCCACCAAGATTTAACAATTCAAAATATTTTCTATAATGCAATACAAATGATCACAATATAGCAACAAAATAACAAAAAAAAATTTAACAATAAAAATTTTAACAACAAAAGAAAAATGTAAAAACATACAAAAAAGAATAATATATCTTATGATTAGCAATGTAACAACCATTGTGAAAATGAGAACTGTTTAAACTATGATAAGACGAACCAAGATTTGATTGCAAAAATCTAATATTAGAAATTACAGGTTTGATAGAATTCTCATTTAAATGATACAGAGTAGAAACATTGTCAGTTAATCCCATATGCTTTGAACCAATTGAATTGTCCAACCGTTGATTAGGAGTCGAATCGATTAAAGTAACATCATCACTAAGTTTATTCAATGAGGTTGGATGATCATCCAGTGGAACCATATTAAATGCAAAAGGATTCTTAGAACTATTAATCTTGCATAATCTAAGAGTGTTTAACCTTTTAAATCTATTTGTCTTAAAGATTTCATGTAAATCCATAAACAAAATAACAAACAAAGTAAAATAAAAATGTAGAAAACCAAATTAACACATATAATACAAAATTAAAATAAAAAGAAATAAAATTATCAGCTCAAAACATAAAACAGAGATTCAAAATATCAAAAAAAGGTTATCCATAAAATTATAATAAATATACACATAAAAGTGCCAATTTTAATAAACCAACAAAAATTAAAACAACACACAAAAAATGGAAGCAAAACAAACTTGACATTAGTAAGAAAACACATAGTATTAATAAGAAATGAACTGCAATCCAACAGCAAAATAATTTTTCCTTAAAAAAATAAAAAAAATTATTTGTTTAACATAAGAATAAAGAAAATAGTAACCATTCAACAAAATTATCTTAAATAAACATCACAACTGATAAAACATATTGAAAAACAAAAGTGACGCAATATATTTAATATGTTAACAAACATACAGAAGAATATTTTTTATAAGATCACAGTAAAAAATCAATCAAAGTAACAATTTCAAATATAAAACAAACATTCAAAAGATGAAAAAAAGATTGTAAAAAAAGATATAACAAAATAAATGTAAAAGTGATAATTTAAACAAACTGATCAAGCTTAAAACCATAATAGAAAAAAGATAAATAAAACAAACTTATCAACAAATACAAAAACTATTGTAAAAAGATGAAGCACAATCCCAGAGCAAGAAAAAATTTTCACTACAAAAAACAAAAATAAAAACTAATGAAAAACATATAAAAAAGAACAACTAACATAACATACTTAATCTATTAACACAGACATAATAAATAAATGAACATACAAAACCACACAAATATTTGAAAAGAACCTCATAACATTTTTAAAAAATACTTCAAATCCGTGCATAAAAACTTAAAAAATTAATGCAAAATAATGACACAATTATAAAGACAAAAAAAAATTTGCAAAACAATGGTATATAAATATAAAATATTTTTATTTCAATCAGCAATAGAACAAACGAAAAAATTTAGCATTTCATAAGAAATAGAACAAAGATATCTCATATCATTAAAAAAGAGGCATCAAAATATTCAAAACTATTCTATAACAACTATACATAAAATTCAAATAATAATAGTGTAACATAAGCAATCAAAAACCTACAAAAGTAAGTAATAAAAAAAGAAGGAAAAAAGAATCCAAAAGAATACCATAATAATAATATTTCAAACACAATCAACAATATTAAGAAAAGCAATAACAAATAAAATAAAAAAAAACCAAGAATAAACAACCAAATCAAACAAAAAAATGCCAACATAAATTATAACTATAAAATCAACAATTACATATCTAAGCGTGAATTGAAGGTAAGAACAAAGAAGAAATAAAACAAAACGAAAGAAAAATGATGAAATGACAACCAAAACAAAGGAAACAAACATAAAATAAAGGCATATTCAGTAAGAAAAACATACCGATGATGTTTTCAAGAACAAAACATAATGAAACACAATAGACTACAAGCCTTTTGTTAAAAGAAATCAAACAAAAGTACATAATGAAAAAAGAAAAGTATGGTACAAGCCAACAACTTTGATAAGATATCATAATGTGATAAACAAATTTTATGTATAAATAAAAACCCAAATAAAAAATAGGCACCGAAATAAATTGAGAAAAAATAAAATATATTAAATAATCAACAAAATCCATCACAAAAACCAATAATCAAAATAGCTAAAAAACAAAAAACCCAAAGATTTTTTTTAAGGAGACAATTTTTGTTTATTTAATTTTGCTAATAGAGTAGAAAGTGAAACCAAAAAACGAATGAAAAAAAAAATTAATATTTTCCCATTCAATAATTTTTTTTGCTCTTGAAATGAGGATTATACAACAAAAAATCTAACTATAAATCAACTCTTCACCAACTCCTCTGATCAATTTACGAACAAATCAAGATCTCATTGACCATAACCACGAAAAAAAATTCTTAAACCCCAAGTTCTAAAAATAATTGTTTTTCCTCACAATATCAAACCCTCTTAAAAAAACCTTTACCCTCTAAAAAAAAGAGAAAAATCTATTAAAAGAGTTGAGGAAATGAAAAGGAAAAAAATAGAGGCAATCATGTGGGCTTTACTGAGGTTATGAAAAAATGAAACAAAAAAGAAAAAAAAGGATGATGATGTGGGTCAAACAAAGTCAACAAAACATGGGAAAATGTTGAATTAATAGTATTGATTAAAAAATAGTTAAAGTACCATGTGTCTTGAAAACAAACATCACGCTTCTTATATAAAAAATGTCTTTTTTTTTTTTTCAAAAATTATGTCTTCAAAGTAAAAAACATGTTTTTGTTTACCATTTTAGCCACTTTTTTAATGCCATAAACATAGTTAAAACATTTTTTTAAACTTACCTTTTTCATTATCAACCACATTTTCAAAGAAAAAAAGTGATAGTTTATAGGTTTAACAAATTATTTTAATAAAAAAGTTGAAGAACCACATGACTTGAAAAAAAACACCATGTTTCTTATATCAAAAATGTGTTTTTTTTTTTTTTAAATTACATCTTGAAAGTAAAAAACGTATTTTTTGTTATCATTTTCAATCACTTTTTTTATGTCATAAATGTAATTAAAACATTTTGTTAAATCTAACTTTTTCATTATCAACCATGTTTTCAAAGAAAAAAAAAAGGTGATATTTCATAAGTTTAACAAATTATTTTAATAGGCCGAGAGCTAAATTAATAACATTGATTAAAAAAAAGTTGAAGCGTTATGTAATTTGAGGCATCTCAGAGAAGGTATCTCTTACTTTTATGAAATAAATACATGTTTTTTATTTTAGTAACGTGGTTTTCTTTTCTAAAGCTGCATTTTAAAAGTAAAAAAAAAATGTGATTTTTAACAATTTTTTAATCACTTTTTTATGTCACAAACATACTTAAAATAATTTGTTAAACCTAATTTTTTTTTTATTCATCATCACCCATATTTTCAAACAAAAAAAATGATATGTAATAGATTATCAACCATGTTTTCAAACTTATAAATGAAGATTGTTAAATAATTAAGCGGATTTATTAGTGGTTGAAATATCAGGTTTTTCATATCAAAAACCTTTCACTTACCCCTCTCTTAGGTTAAATCAAGGAACAATCATACCTTTATTATAAAAAAAGAAAAGAAAAATTGATGTGATACATCAATCACTAATTAAATTTTTTAAAAATAAAAAAAAAAACCAAAAAAGAGAGAGAAAAAGGTTCGATGATGTGGATAGGTTGAGAGTTCAACAAAAAAAAAAAAAAGAGAGAGAAAAATATTGGATGATGTGGATAGGCTAGGAGCTTAATAATTCTTTTAAAATTAATAGAATAGACAAGGATGAGAAAAAAAAAAGCAAAAATGAATTAAAATGAATTTAAAACTATATTATTTGGCTTTGTTGAAATAAAATAGATAAATCAAATTAAATCATTAAAATAAAATCAGTTTGAATTTAAATGAAATTTAAAATTTTATGATATTATATATTATTTAAAAAATTCCAATTGAATCTAATTTATTGTCACTCATAATTATTACTAATTAATTTTTTTTAATATTAGTATATTTTTCGTCATATCTTCATCTTTTCATGGAATTGGATTGAAACTGTTGAAATTCTCCATTGTCTTTCAACTACCATTTATTTATCTTTGAATCTTTTTCTAACTTCTGTCTTTTCTCTAAGAAACTCTCTCCCTTTCACTCCTTTTCTTTCCTCCGTTAGTTTTTTTTTTTTTTTTTAGTTTAGTTATTTTTTTTTACTATGCAGCTGTGGCAAGTGGGTGCTTTCTGCTTCATTTTTGTGGTTTCTTTGTAATTTAATACGAAATTTTTATGTTTTTTGTGGTTGAAAATTTGGGTTTGGATCTTGGAATTAGGTTCAAGTTTTTTCTTCATAAATGTTTTCTGAAAGTTTTATGCTCTAAAATTTTCATTGAATTTTAAGGTTAGGGTTTTTTATTTTTTTACCGTAAAGTTTTTAGCACATTCAAGTTTTGTTCTTTGAATTTTGGCTTGAGTAAGGAAACTGAGCTTTGTTTCTTCTAGAAATGTTTTCTGAAAGTTTTATATTCTAAAATTTTCAGTGAATTTTAAGGTTAGGGTTTTTTTTTTTTTTACCGCAAACTTTTTAGCACATTCAAGTTTTGTTCTTTGAATTTTGGCTTGAGTAAGGAAACCGAGCTTTGTTTCTTTTAGAAATGTTAATGCCGTTTCAGTTTGGGCTTGGTCTTCTTGTTGGTTACTGAGATATATAGAGAAAATACAAAGACAAGAAAATTTTGGTTTATTTCCCATGTTGTTTGAGTTTTAACAATAGTAGTAGTTGAAACAATCCTTGATTTGTTTACCTTTCATTACGCATAAAAGTTCCCCTTTTCCAGCTTGTCCAGCTAGGAAGACTCCAGAATCTTCTTCGGTATCGGTGAGCTTTTGGTGGATAACTAGCTACATTTATAATGAAAAATATAGATAGGATTGTAAAGGTTCCCAGGATATTTCTTTGTCCAGTTTGTCATTTAGATCAAACTTAACATTTGTCACTGCATGTGATACTACTTCTTGACAGTTTCAATGCTTACAATATGCTTTACTTTTCTTTTTAAACGGACGTATACTATCTTGTCATGAAATCTAAGCTGATGACTTGATGTTTTAACTTTTGATTCTCCAAATATGTTTTTAATTATCCAAAGTACAAATTCCTGTCTGTTGAAAGGAAATTCCATCTCCTTCATTCCTGTTTGTATCGATCATTCCTTGTGTATTTGATTCTATTCATGTAGATCTGAAGCTTGTTTTGCTTGGAGTGTCATAGTTGATGATGTTTGTAAAATTTAAGACATTGATGACTTTAAAGAAATGTTCTTAGATGTCACTTTGTCTATAGAGATGTTGTGCATAGAGGATAATGTAGTTATGAGTGGTTCTTGCCTGTAGTTGCATGATCTTTAAGACATCGATCTTTAATTTTTTAGGATTGTTAGAATCATGAGTTTTGGATGCATTTGTACTGCTTTGGGGCCAATGAAAACTGAATTTATGACGTTCTATGACAGTATATTACCAAACTGCTTGTACTTTCTCATGTTTATAGAGCATCTTTTCTGTTAAGTAATGGTTCTCTGCAACATATTTTTAACATATCCTTTTTTTTTTTTTTTTGCAGATTTTACTTTGAGATTTGACGCATTATGATCATTTGACAATGAGAGAGAGCACGCTCGTTGCCATTCATGCAAGTACATGGATGTTTACAAGCGTGTTCTCTATTGTTGTCATATGATCTGTATAAAGTTATCTTCTCTCAGTATCTTTCTTTTGCGGTAATAGCTACAAGATGATTTTACTTTTTTATTCAGCTGCAACTATTTCAAAATATCTTATGAGATACAAATCTTCTTAAATTTGATTGACTCTAAGTTAAATAAAACAGTTAAGATTGCCAACATAACATAAAAGGTGCCTTCTTCAAGATTATTAATAATCTTCCACAATATTTCAAATCAGTGCACTTTTGGGTTATCATAAAGATTACCATCTACATGACCACTTCTACCATCATCATCACAATTGTTATCCCAACTATCTTAGGCTTTATTTAATTGATACTTTTGCTATTTGCCTTTTGCTTTTTCTTGTAGAAGGTGAAATTAAATAGTATATTAAAAAGTGAATTGAAAAAAAGAAAAATATCAAAAAAGCAAAAACATGAATCAAACAGAATCTTAATATCATGACCACTGAAGTCATTACAAATATTATTTCCTTTTCCAGTTTTATTTTCTTTTACACTTTGTTTTTCCTTTTTTTTTTTTTTCCTTTCCTTAGATTGTATAACTACTTTTTCTCAACTTCTACTGAAATAAAAAAAGGAAGAAAATAGTTTGGATTATTCCTTATCTAAATTGGAGTAGAGTTTACTTGGATGGATGAAGTTCCTTTGGATTTATAGGTTTATTAGAAATAAGATCTTCAATGTTAATATTATGTTTTCTTTATCAAAATTGATCATATATTCATTTAAGTTGACCAAAAAAATTTCTAAATGCCCGTTGGTAACAATAAGATTTTGAGTCTAATAAGCTGTTCTCATAAGTTTTAGCGTGAATAATTTGATTTTTAGTTTAACATTCTCTAAATGAGATATGAACTTGTTTGTTAAATGTTAATCACTCAAAGGATGTGGATTTGAGGGAATGAAGTTATTTACATCACTAGAAAGTAGAAATAGAAAACTTAGATGAGATTTTAAATCTAAGTATCTACATATATTATCTATTTTGTCCAAGGATTTATTAATTAAAGTTCTGTTCTTAGGATTGTACTGTGTATCTATTAGAATAAGTAGATGCAATGTTCATCTTTTCCTCATCGCACTGATACTTATATTGGTACACTTCTTGTACCATTGTTAAGTTAATATATCGGATGTAATTTTGGTGTGTTGTCAGGCTTTTGTTTGTAGTTTATGTTTATTACGAAATCAGGTTAAATTGTTATTGTTAGTTTTGATCCATAGCAATCATTTGAAGCATATTTGAATGATTGTAAAAGTATCTTTTATTGTCGACATGTAAAATCAGTTGTTCCTTAGATACCTAATATAGTAACCATTCATGTTGGCTTTTCAATTTCTTTTCTTATTTCAACATTATAAGATCTATTGTTCGTTTGATTCAATTGTTCTTTGTAGGCAGTAACATATCAAGGCTTATATGCTGTGTGTTGTACAAGTGTTTCCTTCTTGGTCGTCGCCTGATCGCCTCAATTTCCACTAATGTGAAAGAGAAGTTTGTCTAGGTAACTTCTTTGCCTGTGCTTGCTGGACGCATCTTATATTGTACAATAACTTTTATCTTATATTGTAAAATAACTTTTATCAATAATGTTCTTTCCATGATAACTAACTAACAGAAAGCAGTATTAATAGTATCATTTGTCCTATCCTAATAGGATTGGTAGCTGAGTAGATTGACAGGGAAATTTCAATTACATGACTTCTGATCAGCACTATTTTGCTGTAAAGAATCAAAATAAGAATCGTGACTCTAATTTGATACAGTAATCTCAATGATATGATTGCAATCTTTGTGATAGTCAGTATATATAAGATATGGTGATGGTCTAGTGATGATCTTTATTATTTTTATGCAAAATGGCCTATGCTTGGCGTTTTTTCTTTTTTTTCAAATTCTAATATATTGTAATTGGAGTGTGTGATTTACATATTCTTTCTTGTGATCAAAGGACTAGAATTATGATGCTGTTTTGGGAGATACAACAATCCTTGCCAGCAGATTTTCATATGCTGATTTCACATTGCCATACACTGACTTAGGCATTGGAATGGTAGCGGCCAAAGCCAGCAAAAACAATATTGAAGGCTCTTTCTGGAGATCTGTGGATAACAACTGTTGCTTTCTTTATTTTCACTGGCTTTGTGGTTTGGCTTATTGAACGACCCATCAACGATGAATTCCAAGGCTCACCATCGAAGCAAGTTGGAATTATCTTTTGGTATTCCTTCTCAACGCTTGTATTTGCCCATAGTAAGTACTCTATATTCAGCCCAAAGCATACATTAATTACAATCGACCCTGTCCTGAGCTAACTGCAAATTTCTTACTATAATTTGAAAGTGCAGAAGAGAAGCTCTTGAGTAACTTGTGAAAGTTTGTCGTGATAATATGGGTGTTTGTTGTGCTTATATTAACCTCAAGCTACACAGCAACTTTGGCTTCCATTCTGTTTTTTTGAGAGGATTATGTAGGTTATCATTCTGGTTTTTTGTTGCCAAGGGCAATTAGCAACTTAAATTTTGAAAATCCCGGAGTAAAGCCATACCAATCTCAAGAAGAATATGCCAATGCTTTAAGAAGGGGAAGTAAGAATGGTGGTGTGTCAGCCATTATCAATGAAATACCATACTTAAAGTATCCCTTGCCAAGTACTCTGCTGATTACACCATGATCCAGTCAAATTCTACATCAGGCTTTCAGCTTTGTAAGAATCCTTTCGAAAGCCCTGATCTAGTCTAAAAAATTAATCTACTTACTAAAAAATGCCATTCATTCCCACATGATTCTTTTTTTCTTTTTGTTCAAAAGAAGCTGCAGCTTAGTGATAGAGAAAAGGGCAACAGGTACTGTGATTTGAATCCTATGTCTACTTGCGCCACTTTTTAAGAGTAATTGCATGAATCAACTAAACTAAATTTTGGGTTTATTCCCATATGATTTTGGTCTTTCGTTAACTTGCAGCGATGGCTGTTGATTGACTTATGTTAGCTTGTAGGTTTTCCCCAAGCCCTGTTCCAAGGCATATCAAGTGCAATTGTGAGGATAAGAGAGGAAGGAAAGCTGCAGATGATGGAAAATGCATGGTTTAACAGTGAGTCAAACTTTTCAAACCAGGACTCTACAAGTAATCCCAGCAGTCTAAAACCTTGATAGCTTTGAGGGTTTGTTTCTTGTTACTGGGATCTCTTCAACTTCAGTTCTACTAATATGGCTATGTCAAAAACGTCAATCCATGACAATCAGCAACTTCAAATTCTACCTAAACAGCAGTTTAGAATATGTAAAAGGGTACTTCAATTAGTCTTTAGAAATAATTTATGACACAAAACTAAATTTTTTATCAGTAGGCTTGTACAAATTGTAAGTTTTTCTACTCTTTATATTGAGTTTGTAAGCCCTGAATTTAATGATAGTAGGGATGCGACTATATTCAATGTAATTTTTTTTCAAATTTTTTTTTGTTTTTATATGTAAAAGCATTTTTTATTTACTTGTTTATAAATGTCTTAGCATTATAAATTTTTTTATAATTTTATATATGCATGCTTATTTTGCTTTAATTATGATTATGTAGTATATGAACATAAATTTTGAGTTGTCATTAACTATTAATTTTGGACATAAAACCCTAAACCCAACAAAAAGTAAAATTAGATATTGTTGAGATATGATTTATTTATATTAGAATACTTACTTGCATTACATCGCGAGAATATGAATAATAATATTTTAAAAAATATATAATATATTCAAAATAAAATAATAGATATTGATTTACATTTTTTTTTAAATATATGTCTCTTAACAGTTTTTCTCCATTGTACTATAGGTTTTAATATATATAAATATATATATATATTATATAATATGTATATAATTTTTTTTTTTTACTTAGAGTTAAGATTGATAGAACAATAAACATAATTGACATTTTGAAAAAAATTGAAAATAAAAAAACAAAGACAACAGTAGCTATGTTCTTGAGAAACCATTCATTGATTTTTTTTCATTATTTCACCCTGTACTGTTATTTTAAGACTTTTTTCCTCATGTAAATTAAAATTCAACATGAATAAAACATTGATAAAATAAATTATGTTTTGTAATAAATAACTATTCATATATCTACATTCTTTTTTATGAAAATTTCTCTTTTTAACAGTTTGCTTTCTAACTTTTATCTCATCAAATTGATTGTTATTGGATTTATTGAATCTCAAACTTGTGTTATTTTTATTTTCACCGCTCGATTTTATCAATGAAAAGACAACAAAAAAAAAAAAATGCTGTCACTCAATATTTAAAGTATTAATAAAAGCTTCCAACAATAATGAGCACCATATCTCTCCTGCCACTACATTGATAACATGTGGAGTAAACCCTTGACCGACTTTGCCTGCATCAATTAGAGTGAAGAAAGAGCAAGAATTAAGTATCTAATTGACACTACTAGAAGCAAATGATGACTTGACCTACTTGAGAACCAAACAGCACAAAACCGCATAAAACATGCAATGTGTGCAGGGGAAAAAGGGCATATACATACATACATACATACATATATATATATATATATAATGTATGCATTGAGACAATGTATATGAGCCAAAAAGGGATCAGTAACTGCAAACAAATTCCAGACTATGAGAGTAATTTATTCACAAGTAGTAGAGTGATACAAACACATGGAAAATGATTCCTTCACCCAATTGTATGTTCTTCTATACAAACCAAAACTAAACAAAAGGTATGACGAAATTTTGATACGTTGATGTGATGAAACGCAACATTTATGTAAAATAATGGGTTTGAAACAAAAATCAAGAACACAATCCCAAATTCTGATATATATTACAGCGAGCTCACCTCAGATACCCTTCTCTCAATTGCTACTTCAAGACACCGAGTCACTCTTTGTCTCTCTGCATCTGATTTCACAGGGGATCCATCTATATGCCGAATGTAATATTCCTACAATTACAAACACAAGATGTAACAAGCAAAGTAGTTAGAACAAGCAGAACCAACTTGCAATACAAACTCAGGAGAAGCAGCTAGCAAAGGAAGAAGAAATGGCATTACCTAATAAGAATTTGGCCCCTCAGTTTCAAAATTGCATGAAACACTACATAGTCCATATCTGTCGAGGTGCAAACGGTATCGAAGAGAAGTTTTGGTCTATCTTTACACCTAATGGTAACCACTGAATACTCCTCATACCAATTAACAACTGTTAAAGTGGGTTATCTCATATCTAATAAATTTTCAATATCCTAAAGTTTTATATTTAGGTTGGACCCTCCACTTATTGTCAATTGATTTTATATTGGATGCTTAACAACAACATTCATATTCGGCTTTTGCCTGTCATCCAAGACATCATCACGGGTTCGTTCATAATCCCTATCAGCAAACATAATCTGGTGAAGCCTTCTCTCAGTATGAGTGACTGAAAGAGAGACTACAGTTTTGGCAAGTGTCCTTCCCTTAAGTAAATAGCAAAGATGTGTCTTTATTCCGGATAGCTTTTCTGGGTCAGTAATCGCAGTTCCTGTTTCCACATCAGTCACTTGCATCAAGCTGCAGCAAGGGTGTTATGTGTCCACACTTCTGTATTCACTACATTGCATTTAAGAGCACTACAGCACTCACTTCGGATAGCAATACTGCTGGTCACTTCTTGTTAACTCAATTGTAGTATGGCCCATTGATTGCTTCACCCCAACAGATCACATTGAAGATGTGAAGCAAGATTCTGGCCCTATAGACTGAAGACAAAAACAAATAATCAGGCATGAAAAGAAAATTAGGCAGAAAAAAGGAAACCAATTACGATTTTTACTGCTTACATTTGTAATATAATCTAGAATCCCTTCATCTATGATTTTGTTTCCATCTTGATCAGTAATATTAAAACCTGGTTGTAAAAGAACAAATATTTTAGAATCAATTGCTACTTGGTAAACAACTTAATTTTTTAGAAAAGGAACAGTATTTGAAATAAAACAGGAGATGAACATATCTTACCATCCAAGAACCAACTGACATCAGAAGACATGTAGGCTTTAGTAATGATAAGGTTAAGATTAGTAAGGATTTGTACAACTTCAAGATGGATTCCAATCTGTTTGCAACATCAACCTGCATTACAAAATGGAATAAATACCAAAAGATACCATAAAAAGGAAAGATGGTCAAAGAGTGCCAAAAAAAAAAAAAAAGGAACACCAAAAGGTCATACCTGTATCACAGTTGCATTCTTGCAGGTTTCATTATCAATCACAACTCTGACAAGAAAGGTAAGTAAATAATTATTACTTCAGGTTTCCAGTAACTCTAATGAACGTACAACAAAGAAGTTGATTTTTTGCTTACCTAGGTGGATTCTTTCTTGTTCTCTCATATTCATAATCCATGTCATGTGAAAATGATTGAAACCGAGTCAAGATCAAAATAAATGATCGCGATTAAATCGTAAGTTAGAAAAATGAATGATTTAGATCGAGTTAAGATCGAATATAATTGATCGGGATTGAATCACAAGTTAAAAAAATAAATGATCTGAACATAACCAAGATCACAGATGAGTGACTAGGATTAAACCATAGGTTAAAAAGATAAAATGACCTAGACTGAACCAAAATCGAAGATGAGTAATTGGGATTGAACCATAGGTCAGAAAAATAAATGATTTGGACTAAACTAAGACTGAAGAAGACTAATCGGGATTGAACCACAAGTCAAAAAAATAAAATGACCTAGATTGAATCAAGGTTGATATATGAAATCAAACTATCTTGGAAATAACAACCACAAATCTTAAAGATCATACTTGGAAGTCTGATAGATCATATTTGGAAGGCTTCAAGGAAAACTCCTCTAAAATAGATGCCTCACAATTTCGAAAATGTTCTCAAAATCACAAGTTTGAAATTTTTCATCAAAGTTAAAATTTTGTATGCAATAGGTGATAATGAGAATGATGCCAATGTAACAAATCCATACATGTAATGACACTGATTATTCAAATATTTGCTACAGGATGTAAATGCATGCCCTATCCAATATGCAAATGCCAACTAATGCCAATGCATAGATGTCACTAAATGAAATTTCAATTGTGATACTAAGGTTCTTAAGACTCTTCTTTTGTATTTCGAACTCTTCAAATTTATAGCAAGGGGAACAAAATCAATTCCATTCTTCATTATTTAAAATGAGCACTCGCCTTATTCTTTCGGGAAGTTTTCAAAACCAATGTCTTTATCAAACTTTGAGGATTTCATCTTTTGTCCTCATCACTTTCAACTCTCCTAAAGTAATATACAATCTCTCATGACATTATTCAATTATTAATCATTATCTCAATCTCCAAATATAAGATGTAGATTATATATTTCTTCTATTCATTATAAAGCATTTAAATAGAAAAAAAAAAGCAAGGATTGAAAATGAGATATAGATAGAATGAAATGAATATCATTTATTTGGAAAAGAAGCCAGGTTACAAATGATGGCTATTTGAGACTAATTTTTGCAAATAGACAAGATAAAGGCTTACAAATGTGGCTATTTGGGATCACAATACACCAAAACAAATAATCAGATAATCATGACAACATATCTCGAATTTCTTTAAAAAACTCAACCATATGATGCCCTTAACACTTAGAGCTCTTTAGAATATACCAAATTTCTTTTTGGTGAACCCTCCAAATGATGTCATATTTTTCTTATCCAAGTCACCTTTATAGGTTTTCAACTTAGATTAACCATATTTAGTTTAAACTGCCCTCATGGATTTTCAATTTAAACTCTCATTTTTATTGTTGTTTTTTTTAAAGCAAAATACTTTTTCACGATATAAAAATTTATGGGATTGGGGAGATCATTTCCATCCATCTCCATTAAGATTAATGATTCTCCAAGAAAAGCCCTTTTTACAATATATGACCTTTCCTAATTTGAAGTTCACTTTCTTTTATTATCATGTTGATTTTAGAGAATCCTTTTCAAAACCAATTCTCTTTCTTAAAATTGACAAGGTCAAACCTTCTTATTATGAGCTCTCATCATTTTTCTCTAATATAATTGATCATAACAAAGCACTATCATTCTCTTCTCCTTAACAAAATTCAGTTGCTCATAGTGTTTTTGTATCCATTTAGCTTCTTTTAATCCTACTTCTCTTAAGACTCTAAAAAATGAGATTTCTATTTCTACTAGCAATGCAACCTCCATCCCATAAACCAAGAAAAATGGGTTACCTCGGTAGAAGTACATACTGATGTTCGATAGGCATGCAAAGTAAAAGGCAATTTCTCATGCCAATCTCTATATGTTTTAATCATTTTCTCTTGAATCCTTTTGATGTTTTTATTTGTAGTTTCTATTGTCCTATTCATATTTGGGTGATATGATGTTGAATTATGGTGTTTAATTTTGAACTAAGTACATAACTTTTTAATCAC